GGAGAACAGGGGATTCTGTGGCTATTATGTTGAACTGAATGGTGTTATAAAATAATAATAATAATAATAATAATAATAATAATAATAATAATAATAAAAAAACCAAAAAAAAAAAAATTATGTTATGGAACTATGTGAGCAAATTTTGTTTTGCTTAGGTACAGGCTAGTGCAAATGTGCTAAACTGTGTTCATTATGTTCTGTGTCTTAAATGCATCTCAGCTTAGACTATGCATTCGGCTTCTGATCAGTTTATCAGAATGTGACCATTCTGTCATAAGTCACATCTGGAGCCTCCTTTATTTTAGTCCTCAAATGTATAAAATAGGGACAGTCACAGTTTGGTAACATGAGTCCCTTCTTACACTAGTATCTTTAATTAAGATTAATTGAAAATTACTTTATATATTATATGTAACAAAAATATTTCACCAAAATAGAATATATATACCAAAAGTATCTGAACAGTCAATCGGTAAGTTGGCCTTCCATGTAGGCATTAATAAAACAAAGCTCATATTTATGTATTAAGGATCTGATGGCCTGCTGAGCAAAGAAACTTACTATAGTGATAATCTAATCATGAATTACAGGATGCCCTCTGCTCTTTATTCTTATTCACTGCAATGCTTCAAGTTCATAGTTGTTGACACCATTGAGTGCTTTAGGACATTGCTGAGCAGTACAATTGGCCTTTTTTCAAATCTGTGTTTTTAGCTTGTATTTGCGTAACGTTTCTGAAGCTTTTTTCCTTTACTTAAGAGCCTCTGTTAAACAAGTCAGAATCTGCAATAAAAATCAATTGTCCAACTGATGTGTTTGTTTTAAATTGAACTAGATTGCTCTTAAACTCGGGGTAACTGCTGATGATGTAAAGAACGTCATCATCTGGGGAAATCACTCATCAACTCAGTATCCGGATGTCAATCATGCTAAGGTGAAGCTGCAGGGGAAGGAAGTCGGTGTGTATGAAGCCCTGAAAGACGACAGCTGGCTCAAGGGGGAGTTCATCACGGTAAGAGCCTGCCCCGCCTCTGAGCAGTCAGTCAGACAGACAGACAGATGGATGGACCCCACTCCCGAGCCGAGTGTCTGGCCAGCGGCTCTGCAAGACTGTCAGTGTTCTTTTGGGTCATACAAAAAGACAGTTCTCATCATCTGATCTGACTTGTGTAACAGTCGAGATTATTGTCCAAGTCAGAAGAACTGAGCCTTCTAGTTTTGTTTATGCCAAGATCTGTTCTCTGTGTTAGTTTGTCACATGTTCTGTAGGAATTTCTACTTCTTTAAAATCCAAAAAGTCTGGTGCTTATAACTGAATTAGGACAGTAAGATTAACGCTGGAGGAAACCCAGTTAGCTATGGTGGCAGTGACCTTTCCCTGCAGGGTAAGTGGAGCTGGTGAGAACTTGGCTGCTGTGCTCAGGTAACACTGTCTCTGTGCTCACACCCAGACTGTGCAACAGCGTGGTGCTGCTGTCATCAAGGCTCGGAAACTGTCCAGTGCAATGTCTGCCGCCAAAGCCATCTCTGACCACATCAGAGACATCTGGTTTGGAACCCCAGAGGTGAGGTTCTCGTTTGTACAAGCCGTTCTTCGTCCCTTGGTGCTAGAGTGTAAAAAGAGCAATTGTGCCAGTTCAGTTCATTTCCTCGAGCCTGGGAGCCCAGGAATGTTCCTTAACCTTTCTAAGCTGTCTTGTTACATGACATTTATCACAAAGGATGTTAGGAGTTAAAGGCAGTTATATATGGTAAGCCATTCTTTTTTTTTTTTTTTTTTTTTTTTGTTCTTCGAGACAGGGTTTCTCTGTGTAGCTTTGTGCCTTTCCTGGAACTCACTCTGTAGTCCAGGCTGGCCTGCCTCCCGAGTGCTGGGATCAAAGGCGTGCACCACCACCGCCTGGCTGCCATTCTTAAAACCAGGATTGGGCCATAGGATTCTCAACTATAAAATAAGGGTGGTGTTTGGGGCTGGAGAGAGATGGCTCAGCAGTTAAGAATGCTTGCTTCTCTTGCAGAAGACCCAAGTTCATTCCTAGCACCCATGTCAGGCAGCTCACCACCACCTTGAACTCCAGCTCCAAGGACCTGCGCATACATATGCATGCACACACACGTACATAAAAATACAAATTTTTGTTCAATCTTAAAATAAAATAAGAGGGGTGGCGCTGTGACCCACTTTCCACATGATCTGGAAGAGTGGATAAGGGGATGTGTGTGAACCAGCACTGCTGTGCTCCTCACACAGTAGTCATGCATGCAGTCAAGGAAGTCACCTGCTGTCGTCATTGTAGTTTTCTTAATTGGTTGTGTAAACCAATCCCTGTGAGCCATAATAGTGTGCATCTTCTTCAGGGAGAGTTCGTGTCAATGGGCGTTATCTCTGATGGCAACTCCTATGGTGTTCCTGATGACCTCCTCTACTCGTTCCCTGTCGTGATCAAGGTGGGATGACATCAAAGAGGAATGCGCGCGCGCGCATGCGCACACACACACACACACACACACACACACACACACACACACACCTATTATATATATATATCCCTAAAGTAGATATTCCTTCTAATGCCAAGTCATTAATTAAATACTGAAACTAGTCTGGAAAGCAAGATTCAACTCTTGCTGCTAGATACTTTGTTATTACAGTAATTCTGTATTGTACCCATAAATAGAATCTTATTTTCTCATAAACCTATAGAGTACTGAACATTATTCTTTATTATAATCATGGTATAGTTCATTGTAACTTTCAAAATTCAGTGAGTTTTAAACTCAAGTGTTGTGATATTCATGGCTTTGGGATTGAACTGAGGGAATGAAGAAATCACAGACATGTTCAGAAAGCTGGGATTGGGTGGGTCACGGACTCGGATGAAGTTACACCAGCAGTAACCTAGGAACTCAGAGCCTCTATCATATACAGCTGAGCAGGAGGCAGACTGCTAAAGTAGGAGGTCTCTGTAGGGGAGCAGTCATGCAGGAGGAGGAAGCTTGTTTGATGTGGCTGATACTTTCTGCATACACTGTCAATATCAATGCTAGGACCAGAGGAAGGCCTTGCCATTCCAATGAGTTGGAGGCATTGGGGTCCTTGACATGGTGGTGTTCATGTCAGGAATACTCATTCATACGGGGTACATTTGCTCCCCCACACTAGAGTGCTTGTAATTCATTGATAATTATGACTTGGGCTTAGACCATGTGTTCTGGAAGAGCTCTTGCCTAGTATGTGGGAGATGCTGGCTGGATTTTATCCCCAGTGTGATTTTAAAAAGTGGACTCTGGTTTTTGACTGGCTCTTCAGAGTCAGACTTTCAAACAGGTGTGCTCTGAGATACCATTTCTAGCTAAGCTGTCTCCTGCTGAAAGGTTACTTTGACTTGAACCGAATCTCTTGCAATTGTTCTCTGACAGAATAAGTCCTGGAAGTTTGTTGAAGGCCTCCCTATTAATGATTTCTCCCGTGAGAAGATGGACCTTACTGCAAAGGAACTGGCCGAAGAAAAAGAAACTGCTTTTGAATTTCTCGCCTCTGCATGACTAGACAATCTTGTTGATGTCAGTAAATACCCCAAAGCTGAGGAATCAAAATGTCGTCTTTGAGCCTAGTACCAAACAGTAATAATGCTCTACTCAAATTGTGAACAGCAACATTTTAAGTAGTATGTTTAAATAGCTTCATTGTTCAGATCTGTGAAAGTCTATCATGCTGTTACTGTTGATCTAAATAAAAGTGTATTCAAGTGATAGTGTCTCAGCCTGTATTCCTAGCTAATATTTAGTATCTTCAGAAACCAGTTTGCTCCAACAGATTTTAATTTTACTTTTTTTTTTTTTTTTTTTCGAGACAGGGTTTCTCTGTGTAGCTTTGCGCCTTTCCTGGAACTCACTCTGTAGTCCAGGCTGGCCTTGAACTCACAGAGATCCGCCTGGCTCTGCCTCCCAAATGCTGGGATTAAAGGCATCCACCACCGCCACCGCCGCCGCCACCACCACCCAGCGTAATTTTACTTTTTTAAATTCAGTAAAAGAAAGATGAAAAGTGTTATAAAGTAAACCATTACACAGATGGAAAGCCCAACTAGATCTTTCTAGTTTAGAAAGATCTCATTACTTAGATGAGTCATTTATATTGTTAAATCTTTGCAGGTTCATGTTTTGCTGATAATTTGATTTTAAAATTAGCTATAAGAAGACTGCAGGTAATATTCTATCTTCCTTAATTTCTTCTATAGCAGAATAAGGAATCATTAATATTTCATGGCCAATAAATACCACAGTGTTAATGTTTATGATTTAAAATTGGAAATAATACTAGAAAAAGTGGTTTTGAGGCAGTCTGTTTTCCATGAGAACATATGCATTGTCTTTTCATCTTTGTGCTCCATACCAGTAAAGGTGTGGGAAGTATGCTATGTCAGAAACAGATGAACACTATCGGTCTTTCCTCAGTGTCAAATTTATTGAATAACAATAAATTGACAAGGCATGACAGTTTCATTGATAGCAATTAGCCCAAATACCCCAGCTATCCTGCATCCACCCCCCTCAACTCCCACCTCCAGCCAAGGAGAATATGGGTTTTTTATTCTAATCTTAATAATAGCTAGGTTAGGTCACAGCTTACTCCTTTAAGACAGTGTTCACTCTGGGAAATCAAGATTGAAGCCTGAGGAAATCAGACTACCTCACCCCAACTCGCAACTCTGTGGTGGAGTTAAGACAGCGCTCTGCTGTGGCTGACAGACAGCTCTTAACTTAGGCTCTTCCGTGTTCTTTGTCACGTGTGCTATCCCACACTGAGTCACACAGCATAAAACTCCCTGCCCCTGAGAATTTACAAACAGCAGACTTGTTCAGGGGGTTTCTCTGCAGCCTCCTCTCTTGCCGTTCCCGTCATGACGCTGTCGGACTCCTGAAGCTTCCCCCCAGGTTTACAGGGAAGCCCTTCTTCCCCTGTTAGGCTGTTTTTGACATACTGTTTTTGATTGCTCTCCCAGCTGAAGGTCAGATCATGGTCTTAAAGCCCTGTCTCCTGACACACCTCACTTCCAAAGGGTGACCATGTGTCCACTCCCTTCAGAAACAAACCACCGCTGTGTCCTTGATGTAGCATTCTCGGGTCACATGTTACACACCACCCAGCGAATATCTCTATGTATTGTATGGAGAGACTGCAGAACAGCTTTAAACGAAGGCAAGGCATCTCGGAGAGTTTCAGAGAGGTCTGAGAAGCCAAAGTGAAGAAGACAGTGAACAAAATGGAGCCCGAGAAAAGCTACCGCGGCAGTGAGTCGCACCACAGGAGGCCACGGGTATGAAAGCAAAGCTCAGAGTCCAGCTGCAGAGGCTAAAGAGCAGGAGTAGGTCCAGATGAAGGAACGGGCCAACAGATGGACAGCAGGTCCACATAAGCAATGAAGTGAGCTGTTTCCACAGCAGGGAAGCAGAAGCCTCCAGGACAGACAGTTCTCTTTCTAGCTTTGCTAAACACGGGATGGACAGGGGACAGGCTAGTGACAGCCATCACCGCTGCAGAGCTACAGGCGTTCACCTCTTTGTGTGGTTCAGGCGAGTGTTACTCCATTTCCTCGGTCTTCTTGGGCATGGATTCCCTGAGACAGTATTAATACCCCCATGTGCCTCGACAGCCTCCATTCACCCCTATAAATGGCTGGTCCCCTTTCCTCTCCCAGGAATGTCATTCATCAGTCTGCTGTGTACACAGTTCTGGATGGATGGTGCCACTCATGTGTCCACCCAATTGCAGAGTTATCCTGCATCCTCAAAATGGTGTCAAAAGCACTTGGAAATGGAGTCTGCCAGGGCAATGCCCAGCTTGGAAAATCTCCACTCTAAATAATATGGAGTGACTTAGAATAGAGCATAGCCTGATCCCAACAAGATCAGAGAGGCTGGAGAAATGGCTCATCAGTTACGAGTACTTGTTGCTCTTGCAGAGGACCTGGGTTCGACTCCAGCACCCACGTAGTTCACAGCCATCTCTAAGCCCAGTTCCAGGGGATCTGATGATGTATGTGATACACATACGTGCAGGCAGGCAAAACGTCCATAAAGTAAAATAACCCAAAAAAGATTATTTGTAACCAGTTTCCATATGGCAGGGATCCATTATCTATAAATTAGGAACTTGGGTCCTGAAGCAAGGGGACTAGCTGCTCATCCTCCCAAACCTCTCCATTTGGGGGCAGGAAACAGAGAATGTAATTCCCCACCATCTCAACTCTGCAGCCAGCAAAGGGTCTCCAGCAACCATGGAGAGTCCCCAGAAGGAAACACAAATATTATCTGTTCAGAGTGAAAGAAAGCCCAAACAGTGACTACCCACTCACTAAATCATACTGACTGCTAATGAGGTCGAGATGAACTGTAATTTTATGCTCAGATCAAATTAGTACTGTTGGAGTTATTTATATAAGAACCAGCTCTCATCTCAAAGGGAATGAGATCATTTATTCTAGAGCCAAATAGAAGTAACCATGGCAAAGGGACACAGATTTAGGTTACCCCAAATTCCATGTTCCAGTACGGCAACAATTTCATAGTTTTTATAGAAACAGAACAAAGAAAAGTCATAAATCCAGACACTTTAAATATATTGGAAACACCAAGTAGGCAGGCTTCAGGGAAATGAGGAAACCTTTGCTATGTGCCTCGGATGTTATCTAATAATGTTCTAGCTTCATGTTGGTGGGAGCTATTGGTCACCTATATCCCAACAAGTTTCATTTGACAGTAGGTCAGATGCAGGTGGGCATGTAATGGCTAAGGAGGATATCAATAGCCTAAGTTAAATTGTAATGAGGCTCTGAGAAGGGTAAAAGGGCAGGAGAAAGACACACACCCTGGCCCTGAGACCAGAGCCAATTCACTGTCCCTGTAACCAAGGCCAAAAGGTTAAAAGGGGCCAATGAAAGAAACACACCCTGGCCCTGAAACCAGAGCCAAAGAAACACACTCTGCCCCCTGACCAACTCAGCACAAAAATCAGCCAATCCCTGAGTACGAAATCCAGCCAATCTCTGAGCTTGTCCAAGCTTAGGGACCAAAATCTAACCAATTTCCACCCTGAAAAGCTTCACCCTGAAAAGCTCCACCCCTAAGAAGCCCTATATAAGCCCTGTGCCTGGTCAGTTGGGAGCTGCCTTTTTCCACCCTGGCAGAGGCAGCCCCCCTCCTGGATTCTTGAATAAATCTCTTGAATGAGATTTGGGTGACGACCTTCTTTCACTGAGTGGAGCAGAGGAGTAACAACTCCGTGGAGCGGAGAGGAGCAGAACTGGAACTTTCCCCGAGCAGAGCAGAGTTGTTACAGTCAGAGGGACCTGAGCAGAACTGTACCAGCTTCCCTGGGGAAACCCTCCCCTGCCAGGGCAGAGTTGTTACCTTGGGGAAACTTTCCCTGCAGCAGAACTGGAAGCTGCTCCCGACTGCCAGGATACTCTTCTGTCTGAGCTGCAACGCTTACACACTGGACCCGCAACATTCCAACCTCTCTACGATCACTGAAGTTCTAATCATTTAATCAGCCTTGCAGAAGGTCCAGTATAAGGTGTGGCTTCTGAGACCTTTTCTTTACAGGGCTCAGGGTCTGACACCTCACAGGGCAGCACTTTGGCTTACTTGGGAGCAAGGAAATTGGAAGAACCTAAGACGCCATGTTCCTGGCCTCTAATACAATCACTACCCTTTTCTTCCTCTTACAGAGTCTAGAATTTTAATTTTTAAATTAAATTTTAATTCCTCTTACAGAACCTAGAATTCCTCTCCCCCAAAGAAAGCCATAAAACCTAAAAAGGCCATTTTTCTTCTTTGTGGATGCTTCCAGAAAGTTCCTGTCCCAGACATGAATATGTGGAGGTTGTATGTGACACTTGGTTAAGAGGAATCTGAACAGACTGTGCTGGGCTCCCCATACTCAGTTAATGACCATAGGGTCATACCACTTTGTTGAATAAGATGCCCACTCTCCAATCTTCATAAGCATAAAAACACTGAAACTGTGCTCTGAAGTCTTCAGTCTAAAGGCTCCTGAGTCACTTAGAGTTTTGAACAAATAATTTTATATAATTTTATTAGCCAGTCTGTAAGGATTCAGTCCTTAATTACGTCATCAGCCTTCAAAGGCGTCCCAGCCTAAAAAGCAGGTGGGCCCTCTGTGTGCTCTCTGTCTCTCTCCATTCCACTCCTTCCTCCCGTCGGTCCCCCCTCTCTCCTTCTCCCCCACCCTCTCTTTCTCTCCCCCCGCCCCGTTCTCTCCCAACAAAGGTCTAAAAGGTAATCATGGCTATGATTCTTTCAATCAGCACGAGGGGCAGCTCCGCAGCATAAACAACATTGGTTCCGTGACTCGGATACACCATCAAGCACCAAGGGCCTGCTGCCATGACTTAGATACACCACCAAGCACCGAGGACCTGCTGTGACCACTGCCGCCTCTTCCCCCATCCAGCGGGACCACAAGACCACAAGCACGCTCGCGTCCCTCGTCGCCTCCGCTGGACCCCCACCACTACCGCCATGATTCTTCACCACAGTAAGTCCGCTGTTCTCACGGCTGTAGTCTGAGCTATATTCTTTGGGACGGACACCCCGGGGACTGTCCTCGGGCTGTACTGGCAACGGCACATTTCCCTTTCTGACAAGGAAGTAAATGCTGTCCTGGTCTACCGGGTGGACCAACTGCAGTGCAGCTGCAGCCCTTCGCATCCCTTGACGAAGAGGAT